CCATCAATGTGCCGTCCTCCAGACGAAGGTGGAGGAGTTCTGGCTGCACGCTTGGCAGCGCACCCCTCAGGTGAGGCGGAGGCAGAGGCGGAGCAGGTGCGGGACCCACGCAGGGGCATTTCACACTCAATCCTAAAGCACAGACTAAAGGGTTTCTGTGTGCTGACTGTGAAGAGAAGCAAGCAGAGGACAGACAACTCAGGAGAGCAAGGTGCCTCTGCCTGGGGGGAGACACATGGGCCAGGGTGATGCTAGTTTCCTATTTCTTTTTTTTTTTAATATATTTTATTGATTTTTTACAGAGAGGAAGGGAGAGAGATAGAGAGCCAGAAACATCGATGAGAGAGAAACATCGATCAGCTGCCTCCTGCACATCTCCCACTGGGGATGTGCCCGCAACCCAGGTACATGCCCCTGACCGGAATCGAACCCGGGACCCTTCAGTCCGCAGGCTGACGCTCTATCCACTGAGCCAAACCGGCTTCGGCAAGTTTCCTATTTCTTAAGCTTAGTGGTGAGTACACAGGTTTATTAATTTTTAAAAAATATGGTAAAATACACACACAAAAATGTACTATCTTAACCACTTTTAATGTGCAGTTCAGTACTGGTAAGTACATTCATATTGTCGTGCAACCTGTCTCCAGAACCTTTTCATCTTGCAAAACTGAAACTCTGTCCCCATCAAACAACTCCCACCTACCCCGCCGTTCCACTTCTGTCTTTATGAACATGAGTGACTGTTCTAGGCACCGTGTGTAAGTGGAATCATACGGGTTTGTCCTCTTGTGACTGGCTTACTTCACTTGGCACAATGTTTTCAAGGTTCATCTGTTATACAGCACGTGTCAGAACTTCCTTCCTTCAAGGGTGAATAACATTCCAATGTATGTATAAACCACATTTTGTTTCTCTCTTCATCCATCAATGGACACTTTTAAGTTATTTCCACCTTCCAGCTATCTATCCTATATAATAAAAGGGTAATATGCAAATTGACCCTAATGGCAGAACCACCAAGAATGACTGGTTGCTATGATGTGCACTGACCACCAGGGGGCATGCGCTCAATTCAGGAGCTGTCTCCTGGTGGTCAGTGCACTTCCACAGGGGGAGCTCTGCTCGGCCACAAGCCGGGATGATGGCTGCGAGCGCAGTGGCGGTGGCAGGAGCCTCTCCCACCTCAACAGTGCTAAGGATGTCAGACTGCAGCTTAGGCCCAATCCTGTGGGGAGCGAGCCTAAGCCGCAGTCAGATATCCCCAAAGGGCTCCCAGCTGCCAGAGGGATGTCTGACTTCCAGCTTAGGCCCAATCTCCCAGAGAGCGGGCCTAAGCCGCAGTCAGACATCCCCCATGGGGCCCCAGACTGTGAGAGGGTGCAGGCTGGGCTGAGGGCCTCTAGTATATATATAAAAGCCTAAGTGACCGTTACAACTGGTCGACCTAACGAATGGTTGACCCGTCGCTATGATGACGCACTGACCACCAGGGGGCAGACGCTCAACACAGGAGCTGCCCATGGGGGTCAGTGCGCTCCCATAGCTAACCTCCCGTGGCGGGCCAACCTCCCACAGTCCTTCCCCACGGCAGGCTGGTCCTGATTGGCCATGATCGCCGGCCCGGCCGAGGGACCCCACCCGTGCACAAATTTGTGCACTGGGCCTCTAGTTTTGAATAATGCTGTGAACATGGATGTAAAAATATGTTTGAGTCTCTGTTTTCGATCTCTTTGGATATATACCTAGAAATGGAATTGTTAGGTGGTAGTTCTATTTTCCCTTTTCTGAGGAACCGCCATCCTGCTCTCCACAGCGCCGCACCGCTTGACATTCTCAGCACCAGTGCAGGAGGGTCCCACCTCCCCAAAGCCTCACCCATACGGTTGTGTTTCACAGTAGCCATCCTGATGGTGTGAGGTGGGAGCTCATTGTGGATCTGATTTGTACTTTTTAAGGTAATGGCTTTATTGAGACAAAATGCACACACCATGGGATTCACCCACTTGAGTGTACAATTCAACGGCTCAGCACTTTCACCCCGTTGTGCAATGACCACAGTCAATTTTAGGACATTTCATCACCCTGAAGAGCCCTGTCAACCCTCATTCCCCACCTCCCCAACCCCTGGCAACATCCATCTACTGCTTGACTCTGTGGGCTGCCTAGTCTAGGCCCTCCATGTACCTGCACTCATCCGTGCACTGCTTTTGTGACCAGCTTCTATAATTTAGCATAACAGCTTCAAGGATCATACATATGGTAGCTAGTTTCAGACTTGTCAGAAATATACTTCTGATGTGTTTAATATAATTTTTAAAAATTCAAGAAAAATTATATGGGGGGGGTGGGGCATCAAAGGTGCTATACACAAAAATGGTCAATAATGGTTTTGTTTAAATAGTGGCCTAGCAGGTGATTCTTAATTTTTTCCTCATACTTAGAATTCTGTATTTAAAAATATAAATATGTGCTTCTTTTATAATGGGAACATTATAAAAATTTTCAGGGAGAAATATTGTTCAACAGCCCTTATATCCTTGGGGTGAAGAGACCAGAGAGCCACGGGGCCCCCAAAACCCAGGGAACAGAAGCAGCCCTCCGCTCGGGCAGCGAGTGCCTGCGAGAAGCCTGCGTGGGGAGTAGCCCAGCTCGGCGAGCCGAGCGCAACTTCCAGCTGAGGTGCGTGTGGGCCTCACTCCCCAGTCCTCAGTGCGGAGGAGGAGATCCCAGCTCCGTTCACACAAGTAAGCACTGCCCGGTGCCCTTTCCTAGAACCAGAGCCAAATGTCACCAGGGTGGAGCACTTGCTTTCGGCCCATTTCCTCTGGGGCCCCGGGCTCACAGGCAGGACTGAGGTGTGAGCTCCCATCCGAACTACAAAAGGCTGTTGATTCTGGTCCCTGAAAGCAGAGGAACTATTTTCACCCCAGGATCCCAGCACTGGGCCTGAATGTGACAGGCATTAGCAGAAGTACGCTTGAAATGAGTGACAGGAGAAAAACAACTAGTCATTAAGACAACGGGTGGCTGAAAATTAAACCAGGTCCATATGTCATGTTGCTTCCTACATAAGAAGCACATGGTTGCCCTAACCCGTTTGGCTCAGTGGATAGAGCGCCGGCCTGCGGACTGAAGGGTCCCAGGTTCGATTCCGGTCAAGGGCATGTACCTTGGTTGCGGGCACATCCCCAGTGGGGAGTGTGCAGGAGGCAGCTGATCAATGTTTCTCTCTCATCGATGTTTCTAACTCTCTATCCCTCTCCCTTCCTCTCTGTAAAAAATCAATAAAATATATTAAAAAAAAAAAAAGAAGCACATGGTCACTCGGTCACCCATGATACATGAGGTGCTGGATTCGAGCTCTACCCCCCAAGTCTAGGAAAACCCACTGTTGGCTAACCAAAAATTGCTTCCTCCATCCAGAGCCAAAGAAAGCAGTAAAATTCTATGCTTGGATTTAAGGGCCAGATAGGACAAAAAGGCACAGGCATGCAGCCCCAATATGGAGGACAGTTCCAAACAGGTCAAGGAACTTCCTCTCACAGGGCACCTGGCACCTGCATCTCCACGTGCAAGAGAACACCTTCCTCCTCTGTGCTCTGGTAACTGAGCAGCTCTCTGCTGAGAACAAGAACACAGCGCATCCAGTGTGGGAATCGAGAGGCCTGCATTCAAGTTCCCTCTCAGTCGCTCCCTGGCTTTGTGTCCAAGGGCAAACCCCCTGGCTACTCTGAGCCAGCTTTGCGGTGTGAAGTGGGCAAAGGCCTAGCTCTCCCAGGCTGCTGCAGCGGAGGGGAGGGGCTGGGTGTCCAAACCAGTGACCGCTGCGAAGCACCACCCAGTATTTACATTAAGTAAAATTAAAGCATTGTTCCTCAGGCACACGAGCCACACTTCAAATGCTTTCAAGTCACAAGTGGCTATGGCTACCCTAACGAACAGCCCTGAGTAAGGAACTGTTAGGACTACTAAGTGGTTCTGGGCTTTCCCAAGAACTCTGGGCCCGGATGGTTGCCGCTGGCACCAGGGACAGAACACCGTGGCAGCTGGAGGGTCCTGTGTGCTCACTCTGTGGAGTCCTTCCCCTTCCCTCCCACTATCCTCACTCACTGAGGTGCATGCAGAAGCCCACACACGCGCGCGCGCGCACGTACACACACGCATGCAGATGCACACACACGCATGCATGCACGCACACAGAGGCTTGGGGCAGAGAAGCCAAACTCAGCCTTCTTCTTATCTCCCTGGACATAAGATCATTCCTCTTCTTCAGAAAGTTGGGCCTGAACTGGAATGCAGCCTAAGAAGTTACTACAGCTGGAATTCCAGGTTGCTCAAATGAATCAAGGGAAACAAATTTATGCCTAAGAGGATGCACCCCAGCAGACCCTAACCCACAATGCCCAACTTCTGGGATCAGAATGTGTGGCCAGCTGGACTGGACCCACCACCCTCCTGGTTGCGCATGTACAGACCTGGATGCAGAGGCTGTGTGCACGGCTCATCTGGACCAGGAGGAAACAAACATTTCAACCACACAGCAGAGCCATATGGGAGTCTTTCAGGAGAAATAAAATACAAACCCCTAAGGTTCTTCAGCGCTAAAAGGAAAGGATCAGGTCAGAATGAGGGGAGTGTGCCACCTGCCACCTGCCACGGGGCACCTGGGCCTTCCGTGCAGCTGGACTGGGAACTAAACCCTCCACAGCCCTCCAGAGCCACATCGTCTGAGTCACAGGTTAAAGCAGAGCTGTCAAAAGATCAAGTACCAAGGAATAGAGCGTGAAGGACATGCAAGGAATCCCCCGAACGGTCTGCCTGAAAACGCTGCACAACCAGGGGAGGGCCAGGACACAAAAAGTGATTCACCCTAAAACCCGAGCATTTAGTCCAGCGTGCCTGGCCCTCGGAACACCCCAGGCCTGCAAACAGTGCTGCTGCCTCAAATCATGATCGGAATCAGATAAATGCAGGAACTGAGAGCATATGGCTGTACTCACATTCCAGCAAGCACGGAGAACTCAGGGTGCGCAGGGCCCCGAGTGAATGAAGACAAGGAGCCCAAGGGGACAGGCGGGGCCGTCTGTGAGCTGATCCGGGCTGGCACCCAAGTGGCAGAACACACAGGTACCTGCACTGTGCCTTCCTAGGTGGGCAAGTGTGTCTCAAAGACGTCGACAGGCCAAGTGGCAGTCTGTGTCGTGTGCTCGCTGCCAGTGTGCTGAATTTTGGACAAGAATTCAGGTTACAGCTCAGAGTCTGATGTTCTTCATTACAAACATTGTTGATTTCCTAGATTTAATGGAGTGGAGAGAAAAATCAACATGCAAGCAGCTTTCATTTTGCTATTTCCACCCTCTCCTAGTTCAGTCTAGACCAGCGGGGTCCTGTCGCTAGGACTTCCTGCACTGAAGCCTATGTTCTGTATCTCTACCCACGACAGTCACAGCCACGGGTGGCTACCAGCACCTGAAATGTGACTAGTGTGACTGAGGAGCTGAATTTTTCATTTTACTTAATTTTAATTAATTTAAATGTAACTATCACATGTGACTAGTGGCTACTGAAGTAACACAGTTCTAGACTCAAGAACCAGGTGAAGCAAGAATCCATATACTGTGTATTCTAAACTCGACCATCATTAACACACAGCTGATAACAGAAATTCTCATGGACAACCTGGCACTGGAGCCTTTAAGTGCAAGGCCTGCTGTGGAGTCTGCAGCCACTGGCAATTCTGGAAAGTCTCCCAAAGTATTGCTCTGCTCAGCCCATGCACCAAGCAAGACCGTTTCCTTCAGTTTCAGCATAAAGCAGATGCCAACCAGGTTTGTGCAGCAACTCAGGGAAGTGGTCTTACAATGTGGAGCTGAGATTTGAGTCAGCACAAATGTGACATGGAGCAACGTCATTTAAGAGAGCAGTAAACAGCCACATTTCAGTTTTAAGGGCCAATAATACACGTGGGCTTCATAATCTATGGTGCCTGCCAATCCATTAATCCAGCCTGCCCCACCCAGTCTGCCCACCCACAGCGCAGGAATGGAGGGATGCCCAGGAGTCAGCTAGCTGGCAGGGGTGAGAGTGTGTGGGAAGATGATGTTTCCATTCCTTGCTCACATGGGACACCGAGGGAAACCAGGTCCCCAGCTGGGGCCTCACAGCCAAGGCAAATGAAGTCCCCATGTCCTCCCACCCCCACGGCACCTGGAAGGCAGACGGCAAACAGAGGGGCCCCCTTCAATAGTGCATTATGCAGAAGGAGAGCTGGTGTCACCCAACCACCAAACCAGATGCCACTGCTGGCTAACACATCTGCAGGTGTGAGCAGGGCCTGCGGTCCAGGCCAAAGGCTGCAACCTGACACCTAAGGAGACCAGGCAGGTAACAGCCATGAGTCAAAGCGTCAGGTGAGGGGTGATGGATGAACCAGAAAGCACTGGACCTGACCAAGAGTCGGCCACCACGGAGCCTTTCCAGGGGAGGGTGTGTGTGTGTGTGTGAAATCCCTCCATTTGAAAGTGCTGGCAACTAATTAAATTCTCTTAAAAACGGAGGGCCTATAATCAAGGAATGGATTCAGTCTATGGGCTGCTGGTTTGCAAACTCAGTTTTGAATTAATGATTGTCTCAAACCAAGGAGAAAAAATCCCCAATATCTCATTTATTTTCTTTTAATGGTTTTTTTTTTAATTGGTTTCAGGAAGAGGGAGAGTTAGAAACATCAAAGAGGAGAGAATCACTGTTCGGCCGCCTCCTGCGAGCCTCACATGGGGACCGAGCCCCAACCCCTGCTCGGCCGCCGGGAGCCCCGGCCCCTGGGTCCTGCTCGGCCGCAGCCGGCGAGGCCGGCATCTAATTCCTTAGGTCAGCGAAGCTGAAGCCCCGCCGGGGCGTCCCAACACGCCCTTTCCGCTGTTTCTACCCAGGTTTCTGACAGGTTATTTCCTATGACTAAAGGACTGATCTTTGCATTAAAGGCCTTGACACGTTCCCTAGCTTTTAGGACCACTGGGGAAATCCTCGAGGTCACTTCTTTCAATGTCTGATCTAAGAAACGCAAGGTCGGAGTTGGGGAAGAACAAAAATACATCTGCTCGCCATTCACTGCTTTTCCAAGAAGCGGAAGGCAGAACCCGGGGATCGAGGC